GCTGTTTACTCTTTCCATTCCACTCACTTTGGCCATTGACAGCAGACTGGTTTTTGGTTCTGCAGACTTCATTGTTGAATTGCTGTGTGCTAGCACAATGCTCACCTATACTTGGTTTTCTAACACCGCAGAGGAATATTCAATCCCTTGGCCTTCTCTCCTCAGGCAACTGTTTTCATCTAGGAACTTATCCACCACTGTGCTCCCTTTTGTACTACTCCAGTGCCAGGGGCTGACAGCTTGGGATTCTACTGGCAAGGGGAACTCTTGCCAGTTTTACTCCACCAGACCCTGGCCCAGAACCCCTATGGGTGTTCAAAGATGGAACTTATTGAGTTTTGTTGTTGTTTTGTTTTGTTTTTGTTGCTTGAATTTGTAGGTATTTCCTGAAATGACCCCCAGAATTGAGTGGGGGTGAGGGGTGGAAAAAAGGTAGCAGGAAGCTACTGATGATGGCTCTTATTTTTATCCATAGCCCTCTAAAAATAGATAGAGAAAAAAATTCTATTCATATTAAATAGTTTTTAAAGCAATCATATTTTGGAATTATGGCTCATTAAAATACTACTGCATTGTTTTACTCCTGTATGTTGATTTCAATAGAAATAAAACCTGCTTTCATTTCACAGATGCACTGAAAACTCCATTTTTCAAGTGTTAGGGAAATATTACATTTTAGAGCCTGATCTTTTTAGTTACTATTCTTTTTCAGCACTGGGCTCAGAAAGCCTCCAACTCCCATTCAGGCAGTTGAGCATTGTACAGGGTTAGGCCCTACCTTTGCAAATTAATTAAAGATTGCCATGCTGAACTAAGCTTTTAGTCCCATTTCTAGGTGGTCCTATCCTCCTGAAGTTTTAATAAACCCATTTGTGGCAAACATTGCAAGGCATGATAATATCTTGTTTAAATTAATAATCCACTGAGCTTTTCTTCTTTTTGTCCAGCAGGTCTTCCACATCCATGCAATATCCTGTGACAGTGAGATAAATAGAGACAGCCCCTCTATTGTATAAAATCAAGATAGATCCACTGACAACAGTGAGTGGAGCTATGCCAAATGCACACCAGCTGAGGATCTGGCCTGAAGGGTTTTGTAAAGCAGGCAAACTATTTTCACTGGTTAGCTAAGATCAAGTGCCCAAAATACTTTTCCTTTAAGAACTTTGCTGAAGAAAGAACATAAAAATGATGCTTCCATTGCATTGTTGTGATTGCATTTCAGTGTTACAGAGCCCTAGCACAGAAAAGGATGTATATTTTTCTGACAACCGTGATTTATGATTTTCATGACAAATGTTAGGCTTTTATTTACTATTAGGTTCTATACACATGTAAAGTGTATCCATTAAATGGCTGTTCCGCTGCTGTCTTGATTTTAGGATACATCTGCATTAAAGCATACATGGTGGAGAGGTTATTATGGACTCTGACTTTGAAGCACCATTGCACACATATATTGGGAGCCATAGTCACCTGCTTTAAGCAATGCAGAGCTGCATGTACATTTACAACTTTTCTTTATGAAGAAATCGATTTGCTACACATCAACATTCTATGTATAGTAAATTAAACTTTAAAGAGGTGCAAACCGCTTGTTAGAGAATCACCTGTTTCTCCTGACACTGAGTGAGTATTTTGGATGTAACAAGTTCCCCACTTACAGTCTTACTAATCCTGGAGCACTCACCTTACCATGAAAAGCTGTACAGAGGCAGCAATGTATAAATAACAGGACTAGAGCACAGTAATAATCAGACCTCAGTGGTTCAGAACCCAAAAGAGCCAGAGTTGTGTGAATTCATTGTTTCAGGTACCATTTTTATATATTATTTTCACAACAAAATGACTGACCGAGTATTGTTTTACCAAATACAATTGATTAATGACATAAGAAAAGCATCCCGCTGGGTTCATAACTTGGATTGTGAGATTCAATTATTAACCAGAGTTTTAATATCATGTGCTACGAAGAGCCTCAGGAGACACATGAAAAGAGCCACTTGTGCCTTGCAAGCCTCGGTCTGAGTATCACTGATCTAATACTTCACCTTATAGTTTATACAAAGGGAGGTGAAGGGACAGACAATCCTAGCAGATACTAAATGGGAAAAGAGTATTCCTCAGATAGCATGCTATTACAAAAAAGATTCTCATTGAATACATGGATTTCAAAGAAGTTATTAATGCCTAGAAAAAGAAGAGCCTATGAGCTTACACCTCATATATAATCACAGTTTAAGTATTGTAGAAAAGGATGATAGCATTTAACACATACACTGAGTTAACTAAGAGGAGTTAACTAAGAGGAGAATTTGACCCATAAAATTAATACACCTGCAGTACATTTGAGAATAAAAATATAGTTGTTTTGCTTTATTAATGTGAAGCCTAAAGCAGTGATGGATGCCATGACTGGAGAAAGCCATCATGATTTTGATATTATCTTATTCCATTATTTTCAAGCTCTTAGAAACACAATGTTTAAGTGTGTATTAGGGCCCGACAGTTTCTCTAAAGACCTCTGCTCAACTGACGATGGAGAGATCTCACCCACTGTTCCCAGTGAACATTCTAAGATAGATAGGGCACCTCTATATAGTCTTCACACTGTAAAAAACATAGGGAAGAGTGGAGATAATGCACATGAGGCTACGTCTAGACTGCTGGCTTCTTTCAGAAGAAGCTTTTCCGGAAGAGATCTTTTGGAAAAACGTCTTCTGAAAGAGAGCATCCACACTGCCAAAGTGCATCAAAAAAGCGAGCTGCTTTTTTGAAAGATAGCGTACACACTGATTGGACACTATCTCGCATTTCAGCTGTGATTACTATGGATGGAGTGGCCACCAGGGCACCTGTGCTTTTTCCACTTTCCTCTTCTTTTGAAAGAGCTCCCTCTTCCCTGTCCAGAAACACCTTTTTCCAATGGCTTCTTCCTCATAGAAAGAGGTTCAAAGTTGAAAAAAAACCCCTGTTTTTTTTGGGGTTTTTTTTTTTTTTTTTTTTTTTTTTGAAAGAACATGATTGCAGTGTGAACGTAAGTAAAGTCTTTTTGGAAAAACAGCCATTTTTTCAAAAAAAACCCTCTATAATATAGACATAGCCTAAGATGGTAGTGAAGGAGACTAGAAAGTGAAAAGGGGGGGAAAAAGAAACAGGGACATGGGGATGAAAAAGAGGAAAGAGAATGAAAAGGCAAAAGAAGAGTCTTAAACAGAGAGCTTCCAAAAAGGAAGTGATACAGGGAAAAAGAGAAACTAGAAGAAAAAGACCCCAGAATGAAGGAAGAAAGATGGCAGAAAAAGAGAATGGAATCAGAGAAAAATAGAAAAATGTTGAACATAAAAAGATGAATAAAATCAAAAGATTGGGATTAGATAAGATAGAAAGTAGACATGATCAAAATTCTCCTGTCTTTCAACAAATATAAAACTAAAATTCAGATTTTGAAATGTTAAAAATTGAATTTTGAAACAATTGGGATTTTTAAAAAATTCATAAAATGTTCCTGTTTCCAGTAGGAAGGAGAGAGGAAGAGAAAAAAAGCCTGCCAACACTTGGTTCTTCATTCCTTTTCTTAGAGATGGCAGTAGTTGGTGCTTTCAATATAAACTAAATATAGGTACAGAACCTGCACAAATGTGTTTCAATTACAGACAAATGTGCATATAACCACCAAAAAAAATATTAACAAAGCTTTGTAGTATTCCCTTCCAATACTGTTGACTCTCTAACAGCTGGAACCACAAGTAGTAATAACAAGCCTTAACTCATCAGCTAGGAAATGCAAAAAAGGTGTTATGTACATTATGATTGGAACAAATTTGTTGTCCTGTAATCATA